CCCCAAAACCCCAAAACCCCAAAACCCCAAAACCCCGCAATTATTCAGGAAATTATAAGAAATCTAAATTTAAACATGGAAACTATAGATAGCGCCACAAGTTCTAACTCTTGTTGAGATAGAGGTAAGTAGTCAACATACAGAAGATTTTGGAGATATTAGCATCAACTCCTCAGCCTTTTCATCCTCCGATTTACTAAACCTCTCCTTATTGGTTGGTATTTTCAGTGAGAATTAAGGTTATATAGAAAAATCAGAATTTGATTCAGACCTTGATCAACTTGAGCAGGATATTACAAGTTTGATAAACAGCTCGAATACCTTACAGAAATATGCTATTGAGAAGGTTCACCAAGATATTGATAAAATTTACTTTGAGTTTGTTGAGAGTATGATTGTTGAAATCTCATCCAGCCAGAACAAAGAAGAAGATCAAGCAACTTCTGATGAAGAATACAGCGCCTTGGAGTTTTCTCAGATTCAACATTTCCTTCAGTTGGTTTCAAAATCAGTAAAATATTTGAAAGAAGACAACAAAATGTTAGTTGAAGACATTCTGTACTCAATAATGGTTGTGCATGGTTTTAGAGATCAATGTAAAGAACTCCTTTCTCAGCTATATTTCTACTGTGAAACAGAGCATAGCCACAACTTCACTGAAAGAGTCATTAACTAGTAAGTTTATTATTAAAATACTAGCTTTGAATCTCAGTCTGATAGAGAGGAATGCCTTCCGTTCTGAAATAAGGTCCTGCTCAAGTCGATACTTGAGAAAATGTTGGCAAAAATTGAGGAGAATTCTATACCTAAAGCTACTAAGTTCCAAAAGCAATGAGCCAAGAGGTACCAAGACCTGTTATTCCACTACATCCTTTCCTGAATACATTGATTCTTGAGTAAGAACTTATTGAATATATTTAGGTGTTGAGGATTTTTATATCGAAAGCAATTTTGAATTTTGGGAAGAAAATACTCCTAAGTATATCCAGGAGTGCCAAAAGGACACAGTTCAGTGGGTCATCGACTACTTTATTGGCCTAATGATAACTTCTGAGACAAGTAAGACCCTTTCTGATTCAAATCTGACCTTGTGTAGCAAAAAGACATTATGGGAATACCTTGAAATACATTGCTAGCAAATGTGAGTTCTACCAATTCCAAGAGCTGAGTAATCCCTTGAGCTGTGCTAGTGAACAGATCTTGCTAATGAAATGACTCTGTACCGCTTCTTTGAATATAGTATGTGGTGAAGATTCCAAAGATATCAGTAGCAACGTAAAAATAACATTTATTGATATTTTAAGTGTAAGATAGACTTTTTATACCTAGGATTACTCACAGAAGGTGATTCGTGCCATCAAAGCATTCAAACCACTGGAAAGGAATCCGAAGAATAAAGTCAGGACTCATAAATATTGTGTCTATTGTTCAAGAAATCTCTATCAAGAAGATTCCAAGGAAGAGGCTAAAGAAGATTTCTCTATTACTAGCTGAGCAGTCTGAAATTTGTATGCATTCCATGAGATCTGAGCTGAAGGTGTTGGAGAAGAAGAAGCACTAGAAACCTGTCCTTTCTGTATGATCGAACAAGAGCTCCAGAAAACTCAGTCAGATCCATTTTCCACTCGGATTACAGTCAGGAAAGTCAGGGATGATGCGAAGGTCAAAAAGAGTAAGTACGGAAGATCTTTGAAAACGAAAGAAGAAAAGAAGCTAACCCAAGTTGATAAAGAATATGAGAAGTTGTCTAAAACTGTCTCTCATTGAATGACATATCTTTCGATATTCAGTATGAATAAGAATCCTCAGATATCTTCGATTTCAATCAGGTTCGGATCACCAGATGAAATTGTTAACAAAATAAGGATGCAAGAAAAGGTGAATAGTGTTATGAATATTTAAGATAGCTGAATATGCTTACCAAAATATTCTCCTCAATTATGAGTTGGTTGATAAGAACACTCTGTTATCCAGTTCGTCACAGCCGTGCATGAATCTTTTCATAGCTGTCAACAACTGATTCTTAGTAACCCTTGAACATCAACTAGCATCAGTAAGAAATAAAGCACTGGAATGAATCAAGCAAAGCTTGGAGTTATATCTATCTCAGGCAAAGTGGTTTGAGGAGAATAACATCATGGTGAACTTTATATCGACCATTGATAAAAGGCTCGAATACTTAACTTGCTCAAAGAACCCATCTACGCGTCTGAATGCTATTGATATCATCGCGACGATCCTTCCATTCTTCAAACAAGACCTATCAAGTTTATCCTTAGAATCCTTGGTAGATATCCTACTTGCCAGAGCTTACGACTCTTCATCAAGAGTTAGGAAGAAATCAGTTGAAATTCTCCTTACCATAATAGAACATTCCTCTGACTATGACAAGTCCCAGTCTCTTCTAAAGCAGAAGGGCTTGATCTTACTCGTAGATCTTCTCACCTCAGTCTGCACTCACAAACAAGACTCCTCACAAACCTTGCCCAAAATCTCCAAATTCCTCTCCAAGATCCTCACCTCCGGCTTCACCTTCACCAAGGACACCTGCTGGTCGGACAGCAGTAAGTCTTCACTAAAATCCCAACTCTAAAATTTTTACTCGTTTAAAATCCCAAATGCATAATTCCGATCTTGGCTTATAGATCTCTACACATACTCCAGCACCACTCAGAAGAACAAATAAATCTAAGAAGAGAGGGGCTAAATCTCTTCCTGAGATCGGAGGATATGACGTCCTTGTGCATGTGTACAATTATGTGCACCTGAACGCAGGTGAGTGAGGGCTGATCGGGGTTTAACTGAATTTAGAAGATACACTTGATGTTTTACTGAAGAAGGTAAGAGAAGGGGGTGGGGGAGATTGGTAGTGGGGAGATTGGTAGTGGGAAGACTTGGGTTGGGTACGATGTTATTGCTGTTTTTTTTGGGGATTGGACTAAATATTGCATTATTTTGATGCGAAAGACTATTTTAGAGGGTTCTTAGTTAAACTAGTTTGCTAATAATTTTTTTATCACTTAAAGTTGTTATTTACAATTAGACTTACTGATTGTGCAGAAATATATAAGAATAATTCTTTCTAATTGTATCATTTATTTGGTTCAGTCCGACTGCATTTATAATCTGCATGTTATACCCTTTCACCAACCCAGAATGGTTAAAAATTATCAGGCCAAATTCCTTTGAAAACAAATTTTCTAACTCAAATACCAAAACAGGCTTATCCTAAAAATCTAGATTATTGAGTTCAGGAATCAAGACTCGCACAATGAAGAAGGTATTGTTCTTGTCCTACAATATAGCCTTCAACGACGAAGTAACATTCTCTCAGAAAGAAACGAAGCGTAAGCCTCGTACAAAGAAGAAACTTTCCCTAAAAATGGACAAAGAGATTACCAAATTCCTGAAAAATGCGATCAGAGGTACGCCTGGATTATGACTTGTAGACCTTAAGAAAAGCAAGCAGTACATATTCTGCAACATTATTAACTCCTTCATTCTGTCAGGGGTTGAGCTGCCTCAGGATATATACGACATATTCTCAATTCTATCATCTAGTGTACGTCCTGGCTCTCCTAATTATAGTCTGAAATGACAGTGAATCTGCTTAGCTCCTTATGCACGTGCTTGATTAATTTGTCCTCGAAGATAATTATGAATGAAAAGATCTCCCCCTCGAAGATACTAGAGTCGCTTTCTAAGTGGCTATCAGCCCCTTTGGAGGTGGAGACAACCAGGAAAATTCTGCAGTCGATCCATCATATCTGTACCTGATTGAATGACTTCACATTTGAAGATAGACTGTTTGCTCAACGGGTTGTGTATCTTAAGGAGAATAAAAATAATCTTGATAATTGGTATTCTTTGGAATTTATATTTTAGGAACGCTCTTAATAGAGTCATGAAGACCATTGGAGACATGACAAGTATTTTTACAATCTTCATGGACGAAAATGGCTGGAAATGCCTCCATGTTCTGTGAGAGGTGGTCCTCAAGAAAGCTACTGAAGAAGATTCAGTCTGAATTTATGTCATTGAAGGTGCCTTATACATGATTTCACAGATTTGGCTTAAAGTGCCTGAGATTCTTAGGTCAAACACTCATTTGCTGGATTTATTCCTCTACTTTACTAATAAATACGATATTGATGATAACTCAAAAGTTATGATTCTCAAAACTTATCATGAGTTTTTAATGAGGTTGGATGAAGAGTGCCAAAAAGATAGCATAAATATTGGTGATTTCATAGACAAGCTCAAGACAGATATCACTAAATACCTCTTCATTCTCTTCTCGCCGAACATTGAGATGAGAAGGATCTGATTCAAAGTTATGAATCAATGATATCAACAAGGGTTAATCCCATACCAGCAGGCTGCTGAGTTCTTCCTGATATGTATCAATGACAATATTACTGAAATCGATGCTAAAGTTGGAATGAAGTTTAACGAAGCTGCTCTTGAAGTCATCAAAGACATTTCAAGAAAGGATGCCAAAGTGTTCTTCAAGCTTGACTTACATAAGGTATTCAGCTGACTTGACCTATAGATACTTGGAAAGCACGGAACTGTCCTTCGAAGGTGCATAGAGATACAGAAATCAGACAAGTCTAGTTTCAGTTCTGTTCTTCTCCAGAACTCTGCCTTTGACTCTGAAGGTAATAGCCTTCTCAAGGGTCTGTTCCAGCTTCTCAAGGAAATTAAATAAGTCATATCCAAGAGAGATGATGGAAAAGCTGATTGAGCTGCTAGATCTCAAATATTTTCAAGAAAAGAAGGCATATCAGCTATTAGATTATGAATACATCAATTATCTGAGCGAACTCATATTGGGGCTTCTCCCTCTCACTCTTGGCTACAGTACGAACCATCATGATCTTTTGTTTAGAAGAAGATGAAAAATTAGAAATCAACACCACTAAAGTAATGGCTCAGGTAGAGTATCTGAAACGCACCATTGATGTAAGAGTTACAAGTGAGCTCAAGACTATCGTTGATAGATACTCCAAGAAGAAATCTAAGAGTAAGTATTACAGTCCCATCACCTCTAGAGTCTAAGAGCTTTAAAGAGATTGATCAAGATAGCACTTGGAACACAAATTATGCGACTAGTTTCTTCGAAGGATATGTGTGTCTTGCATACTCTTTGATTCACCTTGCTTTTGTCAAATTTGATACCCTCACTGATGATATTGAAAGAATCGTAAAAAATTACTCAGAAGAAAACAGGGCAAAGTCCTCCCTTGAGCTTAAGATAGAGCGGAAAGTTCATGAATGGAGGGAGAACTGGCTTTTTAGCATCCGCCAAATCCTCCAGAAATATGCGAGAGGCATTGAAGTGTACAAGATTTCTGAAAGAGTCATGAAAATTAAAGAATTAATTTTAGACATAAACAACTCAGAAATGCTTGAAGATAATGAAGGTCAGATCCTGATGGATCCTCATAGTGAAAATGTACTTGAGAAGGAAATGAATGCATTCTTTACTAAAAAGAAAGCTGATCTTTTTCAGAAAGCTAACAAAAATAGCTATATACACACTCAACCTGGTTTGAAAAGGGTCAAAAAGAAAATTCTTGACGACTCTGATGAGAGTGGTACTGAAATCATTGAATCAAAAGCCATCAGAACTCTAAAAGAAGGGAAGCCCAAAACAGTCGTACGTAAGAGTAAAAGAATCCAAAGAAAGCAAAAGAAATAACTTCATAAATTTTTCAATCCATATAAATCCTCACGGGGTTTTGGGGTTTTGGGGTTTTGGGGTTTTGGGG